TGGGGGCTGGGGAGGGTAAAAATGAGTGAAAAACAGCCATATTTTTTGCTCAATTTTGCCCAGCCCCCAGGAGCACTCTACAAGCCTCCTAAAGGCTATTTATGCCCTTTTTTTTGGGAAAAAAAACCGGGTCATTTTTGAGAGGTCTGCAGAGTGTAAAATCTTTTTTTTTTAATTATCCTCTTCAAAATTTTGGTGTGTCTTATACGCCAGTGCATTTTATACTCCAAAAAATATGGTTCATGAAAGTTGGTGATCTCGCAGTAACTTAGACCTGGCTGAAAGATTTAGCTAGCTTTTCTGTTTGGTGGGGGGCACACTCATGATCTCGAAGTTGATGTGACTTGGAACACAATGGAGATTTTGGAAGGATTCAAGGCACCCAGTTACTGGTGACACTGCATTTCAAGGGTCAGGCCTTAAAAACCTACTGTTATCATCTTTTAATGACCCCATAAACCCTTGCGGGCTGGACAATTGAGTAGAGGTGAGTGATTCCTGGCCAGATGCCTTTCCTGTCGCCAATGTGGGGTTATATTCACCAGATATATGCTCATCATGCCCAGAGAGAGAAAGAGAAATATCTGCCTCTACCTAGGACTGAACTCACAATGCTCCACCTCTAGGCCACTAGCACAACTCATTAAAAAAAACCTACTGTGGCCTCCTTATTTCTCTCTCTCGCCATCTTGCAGGAACGACCCACCTGGACCATCAGCAGCCACAGCAATCCAGGAGCTGCTGCGTTTAGCTGAGGGCTCTCCGGAAGGCCTCCCGCTTCTGGATCCCGTGAACGACCTTCAGCTGAAGGAGCTGGAAGTCGTAGAGAGCATGATCCGTGCCCGTGGTCTGGAGGAACGTTTGCCAGAGTTCCAGTGTGTGCACAGCCCCCTCTTCCACATAGAGGTCAGTTCAGAGCAGGGGTGGGCTTTTAAAATTTTAGCAAGGGATTCTCTGCTCGATTGCTGGGTGAGCGTGGCCTAGTTGGCCTCCTGCACCATGATTGGGGGGATTTTTGCCCTCCCCGGGCTCCGGGAGGGTGAAAACGGTGTCGCCTCAGGCTCCAGAGGCCCTCCGGAGGCTGGAAACAGGCCCCTTTCTGGGCTTCCCAAACTTCTGGTTGGCCCGTTTTTCATGCTCCCCGAGCCCCTGTGTGTGCCTTGCACTTACCTGCGTCCAAAACAAGCCGCCTGGGGACTCCTGGGAGGGGCAGAATGGGGTGGGCGGGGCCAGCCAGGGGTGGGATTTGGGGGTTCTCCGAACTGCACAGACTCTCCCGAATCCCTGCAAACTCCCAGCAGCCCACCTCTGGCCCAGCATTTTGTGGGCAGCTTTGGAAAGGAGGCAGGGCAGGGGGCATCATCTTCAGAGTAATAACAGAGTTGGAAGGGACCTTGGAGGTCTTCTAGTCCAGCCCCTTTGTTGAAAGTTCAGAAGGAGCGAGGAGTGTGATTGTGATTCAGAGTTCTGCATAATTGTCAGCCGCCTTGGCACTCTCTCCTGATGTTGCCCCCCTCCCACTTCCCATATCTTTTTTCAAAACCAGGAAACCGTACCTGTTTACCAGGAAATTATGAATTTAGCAGCTACTTCAGCCCTTACGTTTGCCTCTTTCTTGTTTTGGGTTGGTGTGACTTTAATTAGCATCATTTTTGTTCTTTTTCAAGCCATTTTGTTGATGCTGTTGGGAATGGTTTGTTGTATTGTTTTGTTTTGTTTTTTTGTTTTTTGCCTTTTAAACTGCTCTGGCCTCTGGTGGGAAGAACAGCAGTGTAAAACCGCATGTATCCGCATTTTAACTTCTCACACCTAGCAAATGCAAAAACAATGTATTCATTGATATTAATTCCCATTTTAAATATATACATGTCTGTCTGTCTGTTTCATCTCTATCTCATATCTATATTGATTATCTATCTAATCTCTATCTATCTCTATCATCTATCTACCTCATCTCTACCTCATATCTCTCTATTGATCATCTATGTAATCTATATCTATGTATTTCTATCTACCTATCTCATCTCTATTGATCACTTATCATATATATATATATCGCCATATATATCGCTGAAATGTTGCCAAGACAATCTCAATCTTACATGGGAAAAGACCCGAATAAAAGACCAGCTTACCTACACCCGTGAAAATCTACGAAAATGTGTGTGTGTGTGTGTGTGTGTGTATCTATGTATGTATATGTATTGTGTCACATACCTATTTCCCTGGCTTAGCTGATAAAGGAGGAGAGCCTGTGGCTTAGTGG